GGGTAGTCACTTTTAAGCCAACTTATAACTGAGAACAAGGCAGAAACCACAACTTACATCTGTTGGAACTTGTAGCTCTTCTTTGTTATATTCATGAACTACCTGGATTAAATCTTTTGGAAAATGTCCAAAAAGGTGCCCAACCTATACAAAAGAATGGGCAAAAGGGACAAATATCAATCAAACTCTGTATGAGAAATATAAACAAGAGACTTCTTAGTAGTGTAGAAAATATACAAATATATAGGTTAGTAGATATAACTAAGAGAGGTAGATAGTTGCTGTTATAATTACACCAAGATTATTACTTGTTACTCTGAAATTTTAAGCAGAGAAACTTGTTAAGCCTACGTTTCTAAAACTGTGGAACTTTTTTATTACATTCGGCTTAATTCTAAATGCAGGACATGTAAAATAAGTGTTTAGAAGTAGATAAAAGATCTGTGTAAGGGAATATTATTGTATATTTTATATGATTAAAACTATGCATAGCAAAGCTGGTTATAAACACAATTCCAAATAACCTCTAGCAAAAATGTATCTGCACATTTCATAGCATTGGTCATAACCCAGGACTTATAAGTATTTCTTAAACAATAAACAACAGCCATGTCATAAGTAAAAAGAAGACAATGTTTCTAAAATACATGACCACTACAACACAAGGCAAATACAGCTGATCCTTAAACAATACAGGTGTTCGGAGCACAGTCAAAAATCTTCATATAACTTCTGACTCCACAAAAACTTAACTACGAATAGCCTACTATTGACCAGAAGCCTTACCAGCAACTTAAACCGTCAATTAATACATATTTTACATGTTATAGATATATGTTTTGTTCTTACGATAGAGTAAGCTAGGGAAAAAAAAGGGTATTAAGGCCAGGCATCATGGATCATGCCTGTAATCACACTGGACAGAGGCAGGAAATCACTTAAGTTCTGGAATTCCAACCAGCCTGGTGACATTGTAAGATCTTGTCTCTACAAAAAAGTTTTTTTTAAAACTAGCTGAGCACAGTGCCATGCACCTGTAGTCAGCTGGGGAGGCTGAGGTGGGAGGATGACTTGAGCTCAGGAGATTCAGGCTGCAGTGAGGCTGTAGTGAGCCATGATGGCACCACTGCACTCAAGCCTGGGTGATAAAGTATTAAGAATATCAAAAGAAAGAGGAAACATATTTACTATTCATCATTAAGTGGAAGTGGATAATCATTCTCATCATCTTCATACTGGGTAGGCTGAAGCAGAGGAAGAAGAGGAGGGCTTGGTCCTGCTGTTTCAGCTGTGGCAGAGGCAGAGGAGGTAGAAGAGGAGGCACACACACTTGACGTAA